TGGCGTACCACCTGGCAGCACTCCACGTACCACTGCTGGTACGCGTACCACAGTTTGAGAACCACTGGTGTAGTTCATTAAGTGTAGTTAAAGCTGACCCCCTGGCTGGATAAAAGCTCTGGATCAATTAACTACTAATAAATGGGCTAGATGGGCCAAATGGCCTTTCATTTGTAATCTTTCATGTATTTCTATATTTCTGATAATCCATCATGCCACACCATGCCTCCTCTGATTTTACATAATTCTTCCTTCATATGAACACAGGATTCTATATGGCGTATCCTCTACAAAGCTGCTTATTAAAAGTATATAGCAACACAGTATAACTGAAAGAAGCTAGAAATGAGGGATGGCCAATATCAACAATTTCAGATGGCCAATATTTCAAGTACGAAAGCCTGAAATTGTAGATGTCAGGAAATATGTCCCCCCCCCCCCATCAATAAAACATAAACCAAACACATCATGGAAAACACAAATACATTTAAGACCAAAGTGGCTACAAAAATAATAGTTTTGTGATTTAAGATTCTGTTCCCTAGTATAACACTATTGGTTACAATAATTCATGTTTCATTTTAATGACACATTATATATAAAAAAGGAACAAAGTAACGGTAACGAAACAGGGCTTTAGGTTACGTAAAGGTACCAGTTTTATTTTCACTCCAGACATCCATATAATATACAAGGCAAAACCATCAAAGAAGTTTTTGTAATCCACTTTTCCAAACCACACAACAAATAAAACAAGTATTGTCAGTTTCAACAGCATTTTGCTAATATTTTATATAGCTGGGAATTAGCATTTTTTCACACAGTAGCATCAACTAAATATTTAAGACAATACTGACACGGAAAGAACAGATTTTTTTTGCAATGACAATATGCAAAGAATTTCCACTACTGTTGGTAATATTTTGTATAACAACTCATTTTAAAGCAAGCTATTATATTTACTTTTAAAAGGCTATTCACACCATAGAGTTCATTTCTTGCAGTGTTTACATGACAAAACTGAAACCTAGAGAACTACCCTGTCCAATCTGATCACAAATGCAAGGAGAAACATTGTACTGTTGTGGACAGAAATGTGTTGCATTGTTAGACATAAGCAACATTTGCTTTATTCTAAACTTGATCAGTGTAAGAAATGAGTAATGCAAGCTGGTATAGCTAGTAATCTGAAGAAAGTAAAAGCAAACAAAACGAAGCATATCTTTCATGAAACCATGTCTTTATTAAATTTTACAGATTAGAAAAACATTAATTTTAACTTTTAAAAAATATATTTACCTCAACCCAAAACGGTGACCATTTTCTTTTGCATTGCCATGCAGGTGGGACTAAACATTTCTTCATTAAATCAATGATAAACTGTTACACAAGAATTAATTCAAGATACTAGAAAAACTGCCATCAAGGTTAAGACGAAGCGGTAAAGACAAACATGTTGGCAAAAGAATGAATAAACAGTGTAGTGTGAATAGCCCTGAAGTACTTTCACAAACTCTGAAAATTTAATAAATATACATTAAGATCTGAACAAACGTCCAATTTTCCAAAATATCAAAAAGCAATTAAATGTTTAGTATAAAGGATGATCAAACCTTTTCTCCAGTGGTTAATACTGATGTGGTTAATGTACCGTGTCAAAAAACTCCTTGCATACAAAAGTAAAATCAGCTCACCAAGTAAATATAACGTCCATTTGATCAGCATCTATTAAGAGGAAATGTCGCTACGATACAATAAAAATGCATTAAATTACACAAGTTAACAAATTATGAAAATGTGGGAAATATTACCTTTGAAGTTAAATTTATGATTACAACTGATAAGCTTATATTGGCAAATACTTCCACAAATGTGCCATTTCCACATGAGTATTTCCATATGAAAAACAGCAAGTGTCCCCTTCACAAATCTCCTTTGATAAAGCAAGACTTAAAATGTACTTTAAATCCTTTGTGAATCCCTAGCTTTTTCACTCTATAAAAAAATTGAGGCAATACCACACAGAGCAACACATAACACTACCTTTTGCTAAAAACAATAAAACAGTTTCATCACTGAATTACCTGCATAACTGAATTATGAACTTGAATGGAACTGGCTGTTTAGATATTTATATGAGGTACAGTATGATCAGAAACAGCGACATATGCGTATTTGTTTTCAGTATTTTGAAAACCGCCATTCCTGAATCTTTGCATTTAATGGAAAAGTCAGGAGGACAGAATTCAGCTTGTTTCATTCTTGCCTGGCTGAACTCCATCTTGGCAGGATTTACTTCTACATATTTAGGTAAATTGACCCCAGACAGTTCTCTGAGGCCAAAAGAGCCCTTCCTGTGGTTCTGCAGCCAAACGGACTTGGACATATCTGCTGATCTACTGAACACAATGCTAACAATTAACCCTTAGGACCACACCCTGCAGAACTTCCAGCCAATTTTAGTATGTGCCTTGTTTCTAAATACAAAATACAAATACAGTTTAGCATAAAAATAAAACACAGAAGATACTAAAATGTGTTCATTTTTATTTTTTAATATTTCTTATGTTTTAAAAGTCCCATTTTATGTCTCTCAATTTTAAATTAAAGCTACATCTTTTTTTAAATCATAGCAATTAGATACCAATCAACAACAATGTCCCCTACACATACACAACTTGTTTTGAAAATTTGGTAATTTCAAAGGCAAATTGGGCCTTTCCTTTCCTGTAAACACCCATTTAAACACCAAAACACACCAAAAATATGTCTATGCATAAAATAATACATTTGCTACCTGGTATAAGTTTCCCTGAATAAAAGAGAAAATCTTTTTTGCTATTCTTTTCTGTAAAATTGTCAATTAGGGGAATTGGAACGCAAATAAAAAAAATAAAAAGCAGTCGCATGCCAAGCAGTTTTGCATGTTTCAGTTTATAAGGCTGTAAGGTATAATTAATTTGTGCTTCAACAAACAATAGTATTGGCAATTGGTTTTAGAATAAAGGCATATTTTCTATAAGTATCATTAACTAGGATGGAATAGCTATGTAAATACACACAAGTATTAACATCAAGTCTTTTAAATTATGTAAACATATACATCTTCTGAGGTCAGAACATAGATCCTCTTCATATAAAAATTGTTACTGAAGCATTGCTCGGATGGCTTTTGGAGTTGTCTCATCATTCAGGTGTTTTGTGGTGAACCTGCAAATAAGAAAAAATCTTCCTTTGGCAAATACACATACAGTGCATAAATATCTTGCATTAAGAAAGAAAACCATATATAAACCAATTCATTGTTCTCATTTACTCTGGTAATAACTTGCATCAGAATACTGTTAACAGTTTCTCAGAAGTTATGAAAAACTAACATTCTAAAAAAGAGAAATGTAAACATAATCGCATACTTTCAAATAAAAGTGATAACTTTTCATATATACTAGAAATGCTGCTAATCTTTTAATTGTGTACGAGATCTTATCAACAATAATAAAAGTTTCAATAAAGAAATGTCCAAATTTTCTATTGTAAAATGTGGTGAATTTAAGATGAAATAAATTGGTGCATTTAGAAAGCCTGATTATTATAGAACTACATAAACACACAACATGTGAAAGGTAATTATAATGCTGGCTTATGCAAAGCGTTTTTGAATATTATGGTCATATGAAAGGATGGCAGTGCTGCAAAGCAAGTGTCCTGATCTTGTACACTATCCGTAGTATTAGTATTATCCTGGTATTACCAGGATATCCTTCTGCCATATTTATTCATAAACTAGTCCACAGCAGTCAAATAAAAAAATACTCACATTTGTAATCCTTTGATAGCTCTTTAACTAATATGTATGAATTTAAAACAAACAGGTTTTTACCACATAAGTGTGACTATTTAGTTGTCTGTTTCCATCATCACGTCTAAGACATGATGCTTTTCATTAAGTCTAAGACATGGACCTCTGACATGCAAAATATAAAGCTCAGCTCAGATGGTAAAATAGTTTTCCTGGACACAGCATTTCCACTACATTTTTTAACACAAAACCTGAATAGGAAATTGATATAATTCTTAATTTTTTCATCACCGTATACATCATAAACATACTACAAATGAGAAAAGAATATTACAACTTACTTGAGTGCATTCAAAAGACCCTCCACATTGTCTGCTGGCTGATCTTTCAGAACTTTTATGCAGCCCTTCATCTGAAAGAAAAAGTTCAATACAAAGAAACCAGGATAAGCATGATTTTGGAAAAGCCTTGGCTTTTTTAGCTATTTATGAATAATAAAAACGGTATAATGCTAAAAACACTAAAGCTATGAAAAACAAAAATCTCCCTTTATGATGGAGAAAATGCAGAGGTACAATACATTAAAGGCCTGTAGCACAGGGCTTTGCTCAGGGTACTGAGACCTGAAAATGTTTGATCACAAACTGGAAAGCAGGTGCAGCTTTTGTATACACTAACACAATAGGAAAATACTAAAATCTAAAATATTTTTGTTTTATGTTCATAGAGTTTGGAATAATAACGACAAAAGTCACCGCCAGCATCCACCAAAGCTCCAGTTGAAGCTTCAGTCTCACTTTTTGTACATTGTACATTATCTTGTGCTTTTTCACTGAAAACTGTGATTAACCTATACTGTAATAACGTAAGGTAAAAATCCAAGCCATTCTATTCTTTATCATGCATTTTCTATTTACTGAAGTTCAGTGTAGGGTAATTAAATATACGACACTTATAAATCCGTTAGAAAACGGTTCTCAATCTCTCTCCCAAAGTTTAATTTACTGTACCGTACATTTTTAGTGCATGGTGTATTATTAAGTGTTAAATTTTTCTAATTGTAGGATTTTAAAACATTTCAAAACATTTTTCATTCACCATTTTTAATTTCTCTCCCTATATAAAGGGAATTCATGGACTGCTAGCAGTTGCTACATTCTCTTTCTTGCTCCCTACCCCCTCCCTTATTAGCACACACACACCTGTTAACCATTAAAAGTCAATAAACCCTGGTACTCTTACCATTCTGCTCTCTAGTTCCTCCTGTCTCACTTACCAACAGAGGTAGGAAACATGAGGGAGGATTGCTCTAATATTTATTGTATGAATGGTAATTCTCTGTGCTCAGCCCATGGCTAAAACAGGGTCTCTTCTGACTAACTTTAAAACTCAGATTACAAAAAAGACTTGCAGTACAGAACCCTTACGCAAGTCAGGGAGTGGGTCTAAAATTAAATGACTGAGGCTGTTTGGAAGGGCAAAATCTTATTATTGTTAAATTTAGTGGGTGACCAATGGAACAGTTCTCAACACTAATATAATAACACTTTAGCATAGCATTGATAAAGATAAATAATAAAAAAAAGTTCTTACATCAATTTTTGATGTCTTTGTAAAGGCACCAGCTGGATGAACATGATCATACAAAATGATGACACCAACCATGACTCGCATACAAAACAGCAAGGTATCTTCACTGTTGAATCTACTTGTGTAATCCCTAAGAAAAAAAGACAATATTTTGTAAAGATTTTAAAAAAGCTTTTGCATACATATTTTTACCAAACGTAATCACCTCTGAAGAGTTCTTTTTAATGTTATATTAAACAATTCTATCAGGCTGCACTAGTTGAGACCAATAATACAGCACAGAATATTTTAAATGTGATGGGGATTGCTAATATTTCATCAGATTTGAGTAATAAAACAATTTGCAGAGACAACATTGTAAGAACACATTAAAAAGAATTGTTACTCCCCATTCCTTATTTAAAAATTAAGGAATTATATGCAATGAATCTGTCAAGAAGAGTCACTAGCTACAACATCATTCTGCAAGACAGCTACATTTTAATGGACCTTTTCATCAAGAGTAGATCATAAAGTGTTCACAATTCAAGTCTGTCATTTTCAGGATCATATTACAGTTCACAGAAAAGAAGCCTTAGCAGCACTAAGTTTGAGGACAGCTGCATTGCTTGTTCATGTCACATTTCATGTAAAAGCCCCACACCTGATATGACCAGGAGACATAAGTGATATCATATAACCAAACCATTGCATAATTACTCAAAAAGAGACAAGATTTGTGATCATTGATTACTGATGTTGTATATCTAGATTCCAAAATTACTTACGGTGTTTCCAGCATAACTTTACATACACTGGCCATAGTACTTAAGCAGTCCGTTGTGTTCTCAAGAGGTAAAGTCTTGTTCTACACACAAATAAAAAAAAAACAGAAAAATAAAAAAGGACTTAACTTTTATTTACAATTTTATTTATATTTTATATTTATTGCCAATTATAAATGTATGCCTTTACCTCAGACACAAAGTTTGTTGTGGCAGTACTAAGAGTTTTTAACATTGGAGTGGCTTCTGCATAAAAGAGTGACATTCTGTTGGCCATTTCATTGTTGACTTCATTTTCAATGTCTAACTGCACAAAACAGAAAATAAGACTTTAGCATAGAAAGACCAAGGTTAGAGCATCTGGAAAGACTAGAAATGGCTAATACAACACCTATCTATTAAAAGGATCTAAAAGCAAAACCAATTAGTTACAAACAAATTAGTCTATGTTAAATAAGACGTAGAAGCAATAAGTAGAACTAAAAGATCAATTTGATAAATATTGCACAATGAAGAATATTAATGTATTTGGAACCAAAAAATAAATATAAAATGGTAAACACTGAATCTGTAGAAACTCATAAGATTTAGGCATTAATGTGAACATCATTTTCATCTTCCATAAAATGCAGGAAATAATGTAACAATTTTAGAATATATTGCCACCAACAATTTAAATTACTTATGTTAATACTGCAGAGCTACAAAAACCTCCTTCAGAATACTATATAAAATTCCTATTTACAAGACAAAACACATTGCTGCTCTGGAAATTGTTGATAGAAGATTGACCAGGTATGTTCTCAAACTCAAAGGAATGTCCTACTTGGATAGGCTAAAAGGTCTAAATCATTTTATTCGGAAACAGAGGTGGCAGATTTAAGCATTCAAAATCCTAAGGGCATTAAATAAGTCAAGCGTATGGATTTCTTCAGTATGAAGACTGAAACACAAACAGGAGACTGAATTGTAAATGCAGACTGCTGTCAAGACTAGTAAATACTCAATTGATTTGTCTTTAGTGTGATCCTAAAGGAAAGAGTTCAATAAAAAAATAATTCAGAAGACAATAAAATGTGAAAATATTAAGTTTAGGTTGTGTTATACTGAAACTTACGTTCATGTTATTTATCCTGTTTCTGCTTATTGTCCGTCTGTAATAACTGAAGTCATTCTGAATAGCTGGATTTCTCATCTATAAATAAGAGGAAATAAAATTGTGATTTAAAAAGTTAGGAAGACTAATTATTCCTTAGACCCTTAGATTCCTTAACTGAATAAACAATGACATTTATATATGTTTTCCAAATTCAAGAGGAATATTTTTATATAATGTTATATTCAAACAATTTAACAGAATATAATTTTTTCCTTCTGTAAATGCATTTTTAAATTATTCTGAGAGTGTTCAATGTACTTTCTTAAGTTAAATATGTTTTATCTTCATATTCTAGTAACATGAATTTGTATTTATATAATGGAACTTACTGTCCCAAAAAGAACACTTCATAAGAGAAATTCTTTCACACCTATTACTTTCACTGTTATAGGAAGGAAATGTCATCCATGAAGTTAATGGAAACAAAATTACAAAATAATTACCATATTAGCAACAATTGTCTTATGTGATAGTGTACAGTACATAGGTGATGTAATAATAACAAAACACTACAGAAAGGTTTCACTCCAATGTTTCTATACTTAAACCTAACAAATAATTCTACAAAAGTTTTTTTTTTTAAGCACAGGACCTTCAGCTCATCAAAACGAAGTGTAAAGTGAAGAATCTCGGCAAACTGCTTTGCCAGAGCTTGCTCTTTCTCCAGATGTTGTGTTGGTGTGTAGGGTGGGAATGTCAGTGACTCCAAGAGGCTCTGTAATGCTTTCTCTACAGGAAAGAAGAAAATTCATTCACATTCGTGCTCCTTAAACAGGATACTGATAACAAGGAGCCAATGACACAAACATAATAAGGTACTTCAACCCCTGAGAACTGACTTCACCTTTAGGTATAGACATTATGTACAAGATCTATAGTGACAGACCAACATTGCATGTTTACATTCATTACTTTTGAATATTGCAGATTCCACATCATGTTAGTTCAGGCATATGAGAAGGGAAAAAATCTGAGAAGCAACAGGAACTCTGCTGAACAAGCTATAAAGTTAGTTAAAAACGATAAAAGTTTTTTTTTCCCCTCTATTATCAATATTTAATATATTTAGTGGCATCAAACAAAGTTTACCTAGTCTCAAAGAAAATTCATAGAACCTCTTGAGGCGTATGACTAATGGACAGACAGAATTCCATGCTCTCTCCTGAAGATGGATATCATTTGGATTTTGTATTGCCTGCAGAACAAAGCAAACAAATTATATCCTTGCCAGATATGACTCTGAATTTCACATCACTTTAAGAGCAACTGCTAATTTATTCAAATAACATTTGGTATAGGCACAGAAACAACAATTTTAAAAGTTTAAACAACTCTTCTCAAAAGATTAATTCTAATACTAAAGGTATTTCTTGGTTTAATTTTTTTGTTTCAAATCTGGTTTATTCCACACAAATTTCAAAGAATGTAGGACAGAGATGAATCTTTAGAAAACAAAATGACAAGACAAAAGATATTTTCTTCCCCACAACTATGATGCAGGAATTGTTGAACACTGTTCCCAGTCAGAAGGATTATATTTTCAGAGGCTTTCCAAAAACTGCACTTCTATTTCAATTTCTTGATTTTCAGGACTATTTCTGATGTTATCCTGTGATCATGGCACAGGAAACTCTTTAATTGCTTGAAATTCTTAAAGTAATTAACTACTTAAGGATTGTGCAGTGTTTAACCCCCAGGGATATCTGATTTTTCTTTCACAAAATATCTTTTTTTGTCTTTTGTAATCTTTTTTTAAAGATTTTGTCATTTTTAATTCAAACACTGAGAAATAATTAGTTGTACTATAAGTAATTTGTTAAGGATATTATTTCTTGTTAAGGTTATTATAGATGAGAAAAAAAAAACTAGAAAAAATTACATGAAGTGACATTCAACAAGAATCCTGAATACCATTTCAATAGTGTATACACATAAAATGCAACTGTCTAGTAGGATACAATACATATTGAACTTCCTTGAGTGCCAAAAATTAGGCATTAATTTGAAACTGATTAAAAATATATATTTTTGAAAATGTCACATTTAATTGTTAATTAAACAGAGATTAGTCCAGTTTTAAGTTCTACTCTAACAGATAAGGAATAAAATTATATATAGTATCCCCGATACTGTATTTATGACCTTGTGACCTTGAAACCTTTATCACTATCTTTAACCCAAATTAATAATTTGAAAATATAATGACAATGAAAATATAAACAAATTACAGTTTCTCTGCACCACCTTGCACATCATGTTTAATATACTGGCAGGTAAACAGAGGTAGGCTGTCTTTTACCAATAAACCATCGGCAGGTTTTCCTACCATCTCTGTATATCATACAGATATTAGTATCTCCAAAATTTAAGAGCTAACTGCCCTGGCAAGGAGACTTTGCTTACAGCTTGGGGATTTGCCTGACTTAATGCATACATTATTGAGGTGTAATGATTCAGAATCGGTTACAACAAAATCAAGAGCAGGACTATTATAAAAAATTATAAAAAAAATAATTGATGCTAAATGAAAATGGGAAAAGCTCACGCTTTCTTACTGATACATGTTGCTTGCCAGACAGGATGTGACAGTTTACACTATAAGCAGACGGGTAAACTAAAAACCTGTGCTAAATATACCACTTGGTCCAATGTGACACTTTGACACCCAGCAAATCTGTTATATAGTGTTTTGTAATGGAATACCAGTTCACTGCAGGACACACAAGCATGTGTGCACACACTAAGACTATTTCTAGAAATTTAATTAAAGCAGCATGCCTCCTTATGTTGGGATATGACCAGAGCACCTAGAGAAAACCAAATAGGAGAATAAAGCAGACTCCACACTGAAGACTCCACACTGAAGGCTGAAGACAGAATGAAACCCCAAGAGCCAAGAAGTGGAAGGGAGCAGTATGACACCACACCACCCCTAGGCAATATGAGACAGTAATGAAAACCAGTTCATTGTAAATATCGTGATGTAAATGTGATATTGTTCATGGGATGTTCAGAATCAATTAAAGAGCTGTCAACATGGCTTTAAAATCTCAGAGATATTATGACACTGTTTCTTTGCGTTTTACATCTCATTTAGCGTTTACTTTTGTTTGACTTTCGATTGATTTCCTCCTGTCTCCCAATGGACAGATGTCTCTCCTGCACATCTCACAGTACTGTATAATGTTATTAATATAATGACTAAATAAGAGAGACTGTCGTACCTGTGATTTCTCGATAGTTACACATGCCTGTCCTCCAATATTCAATGCCAAGATGCCTCAGGCAAACATGTCATTATAGACGTTTAATAAAACTGCATAATTTACATCACTACAATTGTAGTGAACTTGTGCAACTGGTAAAAGTCTGAATTGCAATGAGTAGCAGAACAAATGCATAAATACTAACTGACACTTTGGCTTAGAATATAGAGTGGGTTATTACATGATTATGAAAATACTTAACTCTAAAAGAACTTGTAATATTAAATGGAAATTTTTTATTTTGCCAGACAAGGAAAGACTAAATACACCTCTATTTTCACTTAACCAACATTTAGGCTAATACCACCTTTAAAAGATTTCAGGCCTGTGATAACCTAACCTAGGATGAAGGGAGACCCTATGACTTTTTTTTAAAGAAAATGTAACCAACTGTACCACTAATGCAGAGCTAGATTTTGCTTTCCACAGATTACATCACTTTTTGGCAGATGTAGGAGCCAAGGAATACATTATTTCTTGGCCTGGGGTGCCCAGGAGCCTTTTGAAACAGTCCACAAAAGAAAAGGATGAAAGATGTTTTGTAAGAATAGTAGCGGCAGAAGACATACTTCTCTTATCTCTTGCCCAGCTCCCTTGTATGCCTGGAGGCCAGACAGAATGCTCTCAGAGTCCTGCAGCACTGCATTGACTTGGTTCCACACTTCCTTTTCACAGTCTGTGGGCTGTGCATCTAAGAGGCAACAAATATCAGTACTTAACAAGAACATGTATATCCCTTAATAATGCAATTTGAAAATATTACACAATTCAATTTAGGTATGATTAAAAGAATGTGATATCATAACACTTTTTTTCTGTAGTATATTTCATTTTCCTGCTCCTGATTTCACTACCCAACATTGCCCTAGATGCTTGATTTCTTAGGACAGATCCTATTAAAGGACAAATAGCATAATTTTCAAACTATTAAAGGAATTGTATTTTTTCATTCACTGTATTCTTCAATTCAATCTATTAATGTTGGTGCTGATGCAATGAAAACTGCCTCTGACCCACTCCGATCCAAAGGCAAGTCTGTCTTAGTAGCTCATTAAATCAAACCCACAGGCTAATCTGTAACAGTTAATTTATGATGTCACATGACTTCAATCAATAAAATGGTTTCTTTGTGAAGACGGTTAGTAATCTTGCATTTCTATGTGACAAGACACTTGTGGGTTGTTGCCTTATGCTGACCTTCAGCCGAGTCTAATTTGACTTTTTTTTTTGCAGTTTCAGGTTTTTCACAGTGTTAGCCCATTATAAGGCTGAGCAATCACAGCTACACTACATGTTCATTCAGCCACGGAATTACATCCCAGTTTCACTAATGGTATACAATATGCTATTAAAATAAACTTGAGTCATCAGAGTAGCTTACTCAGTAAATTTATTTTAGGATACAAGTTGAGCCCCTTTACCCATACTGCCACTTGGAACCAACTCTGACTGATTCTCCAACTGAAGATACACAGTCGGCTGAGAGCAGCCATGGATGGGATTGAGTTGGCTAGTGTCTCTTAACCTTACAGCACAACAGCAACCCTTGCAACTTCAAAAGACCTTGTGAGCTTTTAGTGTTTCCAGGTAGAGTCACATCCCCTGTGTAATCAATGTATACATTCCTGTCAGGCCAACGTTGGTGTGTACAAAAAAAAAGTAACGACATGATCTCCGCAGCTCTGATTTAACCGTCAGTGAGCTTAGCTAGTTATTCAAAAAGAATGGGAAAAAAAAACAATGATCAAAAGAAAAACTTTAGAGCTAATGGGAAGGTCATTTATAAAATGTGTATAGATTTCTCAATGGAAAAATGTTCTTGATATAGGTCATTTCAACTTGAACTTTTAAAGATCGATAATAACTCAGACTATTTCCTCCTCTTTTCACTATAATTAAGAATGGAGATGCAGAAAACATATTAAAGGGAAGTTAATTAAAACCAAATTTAGGACAGTTATCTCCTGGAAATTGAAATAGTTTGGAGCTTACTCAGTAAACTGGAAAAATAGTACTGAGAAAGGATAGGTGAAAAACTTCTTGTTCTAATGTAAATAAATCTAGAAAACACTGTTGAATCATTGTAAATCACCATTCGAGTTGACTTTTTTATAAATTTCAACTGAATTGTTATGCATTATATAAACTTTATGTATTGCATGAACAGTAGCTGTTGCTATTGTTTATCCTCTTTATAATTGCTTTTAAATACAATGAGTATTAGTATTCTGTTGGTTGTACAAAGATTGGCTTATGAAATTGGACAACACTACAACTGTAATTTGTTCTATCGTAAATTGATTTAAATTTAGTTTGAGGTACCTTGGGCCATGTAAGTTGTTAATTGTATTGACAGCATACGTGAAACATGCTAAGCAAAGCAGCAATTAAAACATTTTATACATCACATAGAAATGGCATCACTGTACAAAATCCATGCACCACTAAGCATTCCAATATGTACATCTACTGTACATGAGTCACACACAATGGAACTGAGAGTTGTATTGAATTTAACCCAAATTAAACATGTAACATGCATATTATACTAAATAGATCCTAGTATTATTTGTTATTAAAACCGCAGTTTTAATTTCCATGCATGCTCAGAACACAAACTGATGATGATTTAAACCAGTAATGCATGCTTTCCAGAAAACTAACTTTGTAGGAAAAAAACAAAAACCTACAAACTCAAATTTCAATTAAATCCTTAAATGTTGATGATCTTGCATGTAAAGTGTATAGTGGAACATCTTAACAAGTGCAACCAGTACAGGTAGTGGACAAAATAAAATGACAATATCTTGGTAAATGAAGGAAACCAAGTATATTGAAAGCAAGAGATTCCATACAAGAATGGCTAACCAAAGTTAACCTAATAGTTGCCTACAATTACGGCTAGCATGGCTGCAAGTGGAGTCCTCTGACTTTCAAAGAATGGTGATTATTAGGGAGCATTTGGAAGGACATTCAATGATCAAGACAGCTCAACCTGCTTATGTTTCATAAGTAACAGTGTCTAAGGTGATGTCAGCATGGCACAGCATCAGTGGCACAGGACCACAGTGGGCAAAAGCACATTCTCCAAGACTGTGATTAAGCGGAAGGCAAAACATGTGAGCAATCATAGATCAATTGATTTTAAATGTAAATCTGGTGCCTGAGCAGCTAGTTTCATCAAATAATATGCTGCTAAGAACTCCACAGACGGTTTGCAGTGCACAAACTATTAATCGCACCTCGCAATGCAAGTCTGCAAGTCATGGGGTAGACACAGCACAGGCAATAGACTATCAAGCAATGGAAAAATATGATGCAGTCAGATGAATCATCCTCCACAATGTTCTCAACAAATGTGTGGGATCAAAGAATTTTACAGCCCCAAGTGCTTGGTTCCAACAGTGGTTCTGTAATGTTGAGGGCCACATTTTCCTGGCATGGTTTGGGTGCATTTTTTTTTTTTTTTTTTTTTTTTGAGAGAGTAAGGTTGTTGCTCATCACTGAGTAATTGTACTGGGTGATCATCTTCATCCCGATTATTTTCTCGAGCAGAGTGGTGTGTCTTCCAGGACAACCCCGTCCAGATGGGTGGTTGCCCAATGTTTTGAATAAGCACGAGATAAGTCAACAGATCCAATCAAGCATTTATGGGAAATTCTGGTAGAAATACTCTGGAATTTTTTTTTCCCCACTTCCATCAACCAGTTTCTTCAGAATGGAGCCACATCCCTACTGCAGAATTCCAGACATTGGTAGATTCTGTCACTGCACATACAGGCTGTACTGGCTGCATTTAGTGGCCCAATGCCCTATTAAAACACTTTATAATGGTGTTTCCATGGATTTTGTCCACTACCTGTACCTCATTCAAGGCAACAGCAGTATTAGTGGTGGGGATTTGAACACATCAGTTATCAGTCATGAGTCTAATAACTCACCAACTACGCTTTCTCTGAAAAGGTGTAGAAAGAAACTAAAATAAAATTATGATACCAAGTTCCAGGAAGGTCTTAGCTAATTCAAGACACTTTATATTATTGATCTACACTTCAGAGCACAATTAAATGTCATTCATAACATTATACAGATACATGAACAAGACGATTATAATGCAAGATTGTCAGGTTTTATTTTAGTTGTCTTCACGGTTGTAGGAATTCCATTCAGTTTCATGTGAGGAAAGTCACTTATAAATACATGCGTCATAAAATACATAAGATCCACAAGAATCATAGTCATTTTGAATGTGAAAAATGGCAACTAAATTAAGCCTTCACTTAATTCTATTAGGCACTTTTTATGAAAAACGATAAAATGTGGACCATGTAGATCTCTTTGGAAACAGCTTTGCATTACAATTTAATTACATTTACACTGTTCTAGAGACAAAAGGTATAAAAACCGATCATCGAGTTTTAGTATGAAGTAGTACAGTTTGTATAGTTGAGAACATACTGTAAGACATTCCAGTATGTTAACATACATGCAAATACAGTATATAAAAAGGGGTATACAAACAGCAAAACAAAGCCACATCTTTCATGATATTTATTAGGTTGATTTTTGTTTTAACTCCAATAACCATTTAGTAGCCACCTTAATTCCAAAATAATAGTATTATACTTATTACCATTAATACATTTAATCAGTAGTAGCAATACCACCACTATCTGTAAAGGTGTTGGGAAACAATTCCACTTAACAGCTACCATGAATTTTAAATAAAACATAAAATTACAAAGCAGACTCACTAAACACTTTATTAAACTATGAAGTTGCAGTCACCTTAAAAAGTAATCTTCTTTATTCTGAGAACAGTGACCTAACAGGTCATTTAAATAATATGCAATATGTAGTATGTTGCAGAAAATTCTTGTTCCCACTCATATCAATAAAAACAGTCAGAGAATCAAAACCATGTTTATCCAGGTTTACTCTTAATGCCTCTAGTTCTTTTTTATCTTCTTTCTAGTTACGATAAGAGTTAGGTAAAAAGTTCTTATGGGTGACTTTTCAGTGTTATCCGTCAGTTCAAACAATCTATTGAAGTCTGTTAAATAATTCTTACCATGATAAATGACTCGACCAAAAATTAGATTTCAATGCGCTTAACATGTTGAAACTTCACCAAATAAACTCAATACCGATATGTAACTTGCAAAAATTTTAAATAATTCTATGTTACATCATTTCTAATTAAAAAAATCTTATTCAAGTATCCTATAATACTAAGACATTTGTAAATCTTTGTCTTCATTTTGCACATGTTACTTTTTCTCCTATTCAAGGTGCACTTTCATCTCACTAGCTAACAAACAATCTGCCTTAGATTCAGCATGTAATTTAGGTTCATATAAAATTATTTCAACATTAAAACCAACTGGTATTTCCTTATTCAATGTCATTCTCTGTGCTGCAATAAATGAATCCCATCTTCCTAAAAGACAAATTCTGTATGAAATTAAATTTTGGCATTATGTTAGGGTGCTAATTCAAAGAGCTTCAAGGCAGCTTCATTTTGTTGCCTTGTTCATTTGGAAGACCGCTATAGGATACCAAAAACTGTCAGCACAGAAATAATCATGCATAACATGCACTGGACATTTCTTGGACATCCCAGGGCAGTGACTTGATAGCGTCATTAAAGAATCTTCAGCAATTAGAGAGTTCTGGGTACAGAACACCTCATGTGTTCTCTGAGTCACTCTAGTAAGATACTGACCAATCTGTGAATTATGAGTGCTATTATCAGTTTTGATCAATAAAAATTAACTCTTATGCTTCTGTTGCAGTCACTCAGGAGAGATGAGCTACTGATGATGAAAAATTACAAAAAAATAATAATAATTTGGGTGTATGTCAACACAATGAACTACACTAGCTTGTTAGATGAGCTTAATTGATCACTATCAAAATCATATTATGTTAATAAAGGTGGTACCAAGATATCTCATATTTTAATGAATAAAGATTTTGGTTTCCCCCCTGCTCAAGATCATATGAACGTGGCTTTCTGAATTATGTTTACTAGACTTTGTAAAGCTGTTTGCAACCCAGTGTAACAAAGACACATGCAAGTAGTTAATAGTTAAAATACAACAATCCAAGCCAGGCAAAAGCTCTGCTCACTTTCAAAGTCAAGGAAAAAGTTTGGCCCCTGATCAAGTTCTGTACAAGTGAGAACTTTTAAGAGATTCCCCATTTGGTTTCTGAAAGAGAAAAGCAAGAAGATAGGTGTACAGTATTGTGGACAGTAAATCAAACCTTTTCCTGGGTCAGCACCGCTCTCTGAGGAGGAAGAGATGATGGCTCAATCCTAAACTGCCTTTGCTTGAATCACTGATCTAAACCATGTGATTAAAAGGAATCAAGTAATGCTTTTTACCCTCCATTAATCTTTCTTCAAACTTACTTTCAAAGTCCAGGAAAAAATGTGGATAGTTTTCTATTTCCCTTGTTAGGACTTTAAGAAGATTACCCATTCCAGCAAACCTAATTGAAATATAACAAAAAAAAATTAAATGAAAAAAAAAATCAGTCTTGGTGATACTTACAATGGCTGAGTATAAGGGTATAGGCAGCACTGCACAACAGATCACAGTTTTTTTTTTAAATATACACTGCAGAAAATTATTCTCTAATTTCAGGATATTAGATTAATATTAAAACTTTCCATATTTTTCTGAAAAGTCTCAATGAAGAACTGCTTTTTATTATATTTCAGTTGTGGAGTACTGTTTTAATACCCAGTTAAAACACCTACACAAACATTATTATTAAAAAAAATGGTACATTTATATTTGATAGAGAACAATAACATTCTTAAAGACTATTATATGTAGCTTTCATTCTTATATCACAGTTGTTTAATGGATTAAAAAGGGTAGCAATATGAAATTGTCTTAAGCATACTGTATTCGTCTTTTTAAGAACTATTATAAATTAACTCTCACCAAGTGCTAAATACAACAGGTTTTATTTAAAGCACAAATATGGAGCCTCTATGCATTGACAATGTATCATTAGAATCAAATGCATATTTCCTCAACGTTTGTTAATTGAGAATCTAAATAATCTCTGAACTGTCATTCCTTCTGCTTCCACTTGTCTCTACTATTGTGATTGCCCCCCCCTCCCTCCTTCTGGGTACCAGTCCATCACAGGGAAAACACCCCAATACAGCTGGCTGAAGAGATATGTTGTGGTCTCAACCCCCCAACTACAGACAATCATGAGTACAAAGGCTTAACGACTACCAGCTCCATGATTCCAAGGGAAATTCAACCTTCTAGCATCCTATATTATTACCATGTGCTAATTCAAAGCATCCGCTTATATCTCTTTTCAATCAGGTATCACCAAAAGCTTTCAAACAAGAAAGAATTTAAGGATTTTTAACAATATCATTTTAATTTCTTGATTCTTTGCTGACATTAAGAGTGATCATGACAACGCAATAAGTGAGCTAAATTGTATTGCAATGGAATCTTTAATGAAAATCTTAAAATCACTTCAAATCACTAAAATAAAGAGGCTTCAATTCCAAAAATAAGCAAAGGGGATTTAGACACACAAGTACTTTGAGTATAGGGTCTTCTATATTTACTGTTCATTAGAAACACAAGCCTTCAAATAAAATCCAATGATGTATCATTCAGAAGGTTTCAGAACCTACCTCTGAGTACAATGTTCAAAGACCCTTTCTAATTAGTATTTAAAATCGGGTGGAAGTGTGTAATTCACACACTAAGAAAATACGTAAAAGCTTTAGAAAATGAATAGCCCAGTTATTTATAAGTACATGTCCATGAAACTGAAATCAGTATGTAAACAAGTGTATTCCTTTAATTACCCATTTGCTAATGTAAAGTACATTATTAAAACCTAATTAACATAGTGCAGCCTTCTTTGTAGTAAAGATGCACTCATGAAGTGTCCATATGTTATGAATGCATACACTTGCCATTACAAGCTTTCTGGTGAGGTCATGTGGAAATGCATCTTTTTAATCTTACTTTCTGACGCTAACAGAACCCACTGAACCTTAGACTTCAGGAGGAATTTTTTAAAGAATTTTCACTCTATGAAAACTATTCCTTAACAACAGCCAGAAACCATAAATTAAATTAAGCATCTTGATTCAATAAAAAAAGACCTCCCAAAATAAAGCATGGGAATTTTAAAACACCAGCTTGAACTACTAAACAGATCTCAGTCATGTTGTGTTCATAAATGCACTAATTTGTAAATAGAAATACACGGTGTAAATGTCCCAGCTTAATTTCTCCAAACACTAATATGCACTAGTATACACTTCACTTAGAAAAGAAAAGATTCCAAGTAAAGTGAACTGGTCTTTGTGATACTGTATTTCTATCCTCACAAAAGAAAGAAGTAACTTAATCATTTTAACCTTGGGGTCTAAGGCAGCTGTTAGTATTGTGCTGGTGCATTTTTTAAATTTACAGCAAATGTCTTGGATATGTTCATTGATATTTTTGACAATGGCCAATTAATTCATTTTTTATACTTTGAATAAATGTATTTTTGAAAATTCAGATATCTCACAACATTAGTTACCCTGAATTTATATCAAATACTACATCATAGTGCTGAAAACTGCAAACTGCTCCTGAAAACAGGATAGTAAGCAAACAGTGACACTGTATCAATAGCTGCAGCAGGTTTTAAAATACTCTGCATCATAGAATTAAGGTTCAAATCAATGCACAGTGGTAACTGTTTTCTACATTTAATTTTACATCTGTACGATTGTCATCGTCAACTTTGTAATTATTTTATTTTACCCATTTTCTAAATTCTGGTTTATTTCTGTTCTTTGTACAGAACTGCCAGTGTCTCCTCATGCTTCGTTACTGCATGTGCTTAGTATTCAGAATTTCAGTGCAAAATTAAAGAGCCTGTTCTAATATTTAGGAACCAGCATGACGCATAAAAACCTCAAATCTGGCAAACTGATGTAGACCTCTTCAATAACTTAATTTTAAACACATGGTAACTGCCTCCTTTCTAGTCTTTCATTAAAAAACAAATTTGAACTGCGTCACTGAACTAAGACATTGGGTACCAGTAGCACTAAGAGTTTAATTTGAACCACACCAGCTCTTTCCACATGGCACATGTAGCATTTACATGGTGATTAATCATACAAGGAGCACGCTGTGTTAAACATCGGCAATCAATTTCATTATGCAAGAAGCGTCTTGCCACAGTAGACATATTGTGTAAAGAACACAGGTTATTGTTTGGCGAGAATACTGAGGCCAAATACCTACATGAAAGTGGACATTGTGCAGCTGTTTTGACAACCTTGCAATGTAACTCAGTGGATTTCCTGTGCTGCAGACATTTTACCCTTTTTGACATGGGCCTATTACAGCATACAACTACAAAGAATAGAAAGTTCAGGTTTAAAATAAAATGTGAGACTGCCCTCTGCAGTATCCTTTCTTGCACAGCGAAAACTAGCAGGGACAGCATGAAGACTAACAATGTATACCTTCAGTTACAGCCTATGGAGAGAAAAAAAATAACCCTGAATAATAAACAATGCTGAACACATTTGTGCTCATGTCTATTTGTGCAGACATGAGCCATCATATGTCAATGGGGGGGGGGGGGTGACTAAAAAGACAGTTAAAACACAGATAGTATAGTTATTTATCCAAAATTCAGATGTTGAACAAAATAAGGTGCTAAATGTGTTGCATTGAACTTCAGTAAATATTGCAGTTAACAACCATGACATTTGTTTTCTTTCAAATGCCTAACCTCGTTTTCATTTGATAACTTCCCAAATTGTTTCATTGCCATAGTGAAACCTACTGATTAAAAGAATTATGCTGGTAACCAAGGATTATAACATAACCTTAAAGCTAATGCAGTGATAAGATAATAATCACTCTTAACTTGTCAACACCAGCAAAAGCTCATAACGGAAGACGCAACAGTTGATCACTTGTGTGCTTAACATTTACTGCTGCACGCTATCAACAACAATCATTCTCATAGTGCCAAACTTGGCATTTCATATATGTGAATTTTTATGAGAATATCTACAATCTTACATCATAGTTTTAATAAGTGGAAGAAGCTTATTTGAAAATTTGATATTTCTAGCTACCCATCTACAGTTGTCACATAATAGGCTGTGAGCAGCCTCTTGTGGCCACTGGAAATATTTAACAAGAATGAGCAGTGCTGTACATTTATTGTTCAAAAGCTAAAAAGCAGTACTTTTACTGGAATTATGTAACGGATAGGTACAAAAGCCTCAGTGTATAAGTCTGGCACAGTCACAAATCCAGCCTGCTGTAACATTCTTTCAAGTAAGTGGTAAACAGGGAATATGTAGTCAAGTTCAAGAACATGGGAAATCATAGAAATGTCTATGTTAGCATTTTCATTACAACCATTAGCCTTACATTCGGTAAGAATTTATTACCTGCTTTTACATAGCTTCACTTCCTGATGAAAAAGTAAACAAACAAGTATGGATGTTCTTATCTTGCTCTTTGTAATTAAAGAGATACAGCAAGCAGTTTGTATCAACACCAACTAATTCAGTAAGTTCAAGGGAACCACTCTGATTTTTTGGATTTCTTCCACTGACCACCCACCATGCATTTTCACCACAGTTTTCTGAATAAAGGTTATGTGCATAAGTACAAAGTTTGTATATTTATTCCAAGATAATAACAAACGTTCAATTTTTTTCATTTTGAAAATGAAGGCTACTATATTTTTCCTTTTGACTTTTTTGTTTCATTTATACACTTATTTTTCAATTAATCAGGCTTCCTAATCAGAAGTGGCAAGTAATTGACCTATCAACTCTAATGCAGTTCCACAAGAGCACATTATTTTGGTAAATCAGAATGGCTATTCCATCAGTGAATTGATGAAGGTGAGGGATTACAAAATATGAAGCTAAACTCTATACCCATGCAATGAAACTTAATGCTTTAGGACAATATGTATGTCATGAGAAAAGTGAAATGAATTAGTTGTTGTGTATATTGCATATTGAAAATTCAAGAGAACAGTGTCACAGTTTATTATTCGGTCTAAGTACGGTGATTTTGTTCTGCACATGATAGTAACTGTTTTATGGAACTGTAAAGAACAAAAGAATTAGCACTCTTTCAGAATTTCAGAATTTTTGCACATTTTCACCCATTAATCTTATCAGAGCTTCGTGTGGGTCTAAGTGATATAGAGTGCCGTGAAAATGTATGTGCCCCCCATCCCGATTTCCTCTATTATTGCATATTTGTGACACTGGATGTTTAGACAAAATCTAGTATTAGATAAAGGGAACCTGAGTGAACAAATAACACAGCATTCCACATATCATCATATTTTTAGTGGAGAATATATACAATTTTATTTTTATGTAGTGCTTTTAATCATAAAGGATCTCAAATACAAACAGGAGAGAGCGCACCACCAGTAAAATGAAAGACCCACTT